TGAAGAGAAAGATAACCAAATGTTAAATGCAGTATTAAATCAAAACTGCATAAAATCAACTGTAGTGCATACTGTACTGCTGTAATAATTTCATAGCCACTGCCTTTTGGTATTACAGTAAGTTTATTTATTTATTTATTTTATTTGAGGCAGTTTCTTGCTCTGTCACCAAGGCTGGAGTGCAGTGGTGTGATCTCAGCTCACTGTAGTCTCTGCCTCCCAGGTTCAAGTGCCTCTCCTGTTTCAGACTTCCTAGTAGCTGTGCTTATAAGCACCCGCCACCACACCCAGCTAATTTTTGTAGTTTTAGTAGAGGTGAGGTTTCACCATGTTGGCCAGACTGGTCTTGAACTCCTGACCTCGAGTGATCCACCTGCCTCGGGCTGCAGTGAGTTCAAGTGTTCCAAATATCCACTTAAAATGCCAGCTGACACTTACCTTCTTTGTATGAGCAGTCTCCTCTGGCCAGTAAATTTTGTGTTGAAGTAAAAAGAGATCTGTGGGTCTCAAGTATTTTTCACTGTGTTTAATGCAATACCATAAACCTTATATAACAGCATGGGACCCATACAAAGTGGCCATTAGTGATGTTGGAAATGCTGCCAAGAAACAAAGAAAAATTATGACATTACAATAAAAAGCTGAATTGCTTCGTAGTTACCACAGATGAGATCTACAACTATGGTTGCTCGACATTTCACGGTAAATGAATCCAACATGAGTACCATTATTTAAAAAAAGAAAAGAAAATTCATGAAGCTGTTGCTGCAGCTATGCTAGCAGGCATAAAAACCATGCACTTTTTGTGAAATACCTTTTTATTCATACTGAAAGTACAGCTTTTATGTTAGTGTAGGATTGCTGTGAGAAAGCCAAACCTATAGACTCTAATATGACTCAAGAAAAAGAGAAGTCATGATACAACAATTTCATCCAAAAGGAAAGTGAAGAATTTAAAGTTAAAGAATTTAAAGCTAGCAAAGTAGCTAGCTACTAGGGAAGCTGAGGTGGAAGGGTTTCTTGAGCCCAGGAGTTTGAGGCTGTAGTGAGTTAGGATTGTACCTCTGCACTCCGGCCTGGGCAACAGAGAAAAACCCAATCTCTAAAAAAATAATGCCAGTGAAAGGTGGTTTATTAATTTTAGGAAGAGGTTTAGCCTTAAAAATGTCAAGAAAACAGAAGATGCAGTTTCTGCTGACCAAGAGACAGCAAGTGAGTTCCCAGATGCCATTAAGAAAATCACATTTTGGCCGGGCGCAGTGGCTCAAGCCTGTAATCCCAGCACTTTGGGAGGCTGAGGCGGGTGGATCACGAGGTCAAGAGATCAAGACCATCCTGGTCAACATGGTGAAACCCCGTCTCTACTAAAAATACAAAAAATTAGCTGGGCATGGTGGCGCGTGCCTGTAATCCCAGCTACTCAGGAGGCTGAGGCAGGAGAATTGCCTGAACCCAGGAGGCGGAGGTTGCAGTGAGCCGAGATCGCGCCATTGCTCTCCAGCCTGGGTAACAAGAGTGAAACTCCGTCTCAAAAAAAAAAAAAAAAAAAAAGGCCGGGCACAGTGGCTCATGCCTGTAATCCCAGCACTTTGGGAGGCCAAGGCAGGTGGATCATAAGGTCAGGAGATCGAGACCATCATGACCGACATGGTGAAACCCTGTCTCTACGAAAAAAAAAAAAAAAAGAAAAGAAAATCACATTTTGGAAGACTGAGGCAGGAGGATCACTTGAGGCCAGGAGTTTGAGATCAGCCTGGGCAACATAGCAAGACCTTGTCTCTATTTGAAAGAAAGAAAGAAAAACATTGAGAAAGCAGGATATCTGGTGAACAGGTTTTGCATGCAGGTGAAAGTGCCCTATGTGGAAAAAAAAAAAGTCACAAAGGACACTTAATAGTAAGGAAAATAAGTGAGCACGGGTTTAAGGCAGGAACAGATAGGCTGACTACTGTTTTGTGGAAATGCAGCCGAGTTTGTTGTCAGAACTGCCCTTATCTGTGAAGCTTCTAATCCCCAAGCCTTGAAGGGAAAAGGTAAACACCAGCTGCCAGTCATTTGGTTGTATAAAAAAAAGGTCTGGACAACAAGAACTCTTTTTCTAGATGGAATCCCTCGATACTTTCTGCCCGAAGTCAAGAAGTAACTTGGTAACAAGGGACTGCCTTTTAAGGTTCTTTTGATGTTGGACAAATGCCCCCGGCCATCCAGAACCACATGAGTTCAACACCAAAGACGTTGAAGTAGTTTACTTGCCCCCAAACACCATGTCTGTAATTCAGCCTCTAGACTAGGAGGTCACAAGGCCCTTTAAGGGTCATTGTACACAGTACTCTACGGACAGGATTGTTAACTATGGAAGAGAACCCTGATAGAGAGGGAAGTCTGGAAGGATTGCGCTATTGAAGATGCCATCATTGTTTTTGTTTGTTTGTTTGTTTGCTTGTTTGTTTTTGTCATTTTTAGTTTATTTGTGTGGCAAGTGACAGGCATGAAGATGCCATCATTATTACAAAGCCCTGAAAGCCATCAAACCCAAAGCAACAAATTCCTGCTGGAGAGTACCGTGTCCCAATATTAGCATGACTTCACAGTATTTACAGCAGAGCCTATCAAGGAAATCATGATAAAGATTGTGGATATGGTTTTTTAAAAAGTGGGGAGTACAGGGTTTCAAGATATGAATCTTGGAGAAATTCAAGAGTGAATAGACACCACACCAGAGTAATTACCATAGGACAACTTGATGGAGATGAGTACTTTCAAACCAGTGCCAAATGATGAGGAAGAAAACGGAAAAAGCAGTACTAGAAGACAAATGGACCTTAGACAATCTGGCAGAAGGATTCCAAGCATTCAAGACTGCTTTTGACTTATTTTACAATATGGACCTTTCTATATGGTACAGGCACTGAAACTAATGTGAACAGCAAACAAGGATTGGCACCATATAGAAAGATTTTTAGGGAAATGAAAAGGCAAAAAAGTCAAATTACAGTATATTTCTGTAAAGTTACGCTGAATGTGCCTGCCTCTTCTGCCTCCTCTTCCACTTTCTCCGCCTCTTCCAGCTCCGCAACCCCTGCGATAACAAGACCAATTCCCCCTCTTCTCCTCCTCCTCAGCCTACTCAACATGAAGACAATGAGGATGAAAAACTTTGTGATGATCCACTTCTACTTAATGAATAGTAAATGTATTTTCTCTACCTTATGATATTCTTAATAAAATTTTATTTTCTCTAGCTTACTTTATTGCAAGAGTGCAATACATGATACAAAATATGTGTTAAACAACTGCTTATGTTGTTGATAAGGCTTCTAGTTAACAGTAGGCTATTAGTAATTTGGTGGGGAGTCAAAAAAATCATAATGCAGATTTTCAGCTGTGTGGGGGTCAGTGCCCCTAACCTTCATGTTGTTCTAAAGTTAGGGGCACTGCCTAGTATAACTCCCTACAAATACATTCTCGAATATACTCCTAGGGTTTCTGCCAATTTAAGTTGGTGAAGTCTTGCCATTCTTTCAGTATGGCAGTCCCCAGGTCAGTCCCTACACTTAACGCCAGCTTACCATGGCGTGCTGGGATCCAACTGTAGTTACAGGATTGGAGACAATGAGAATTGGTGGTGGTATAGAGGTGGGCCTTGAGGACAGTGTGCAGCCCCTTACAAGGTAAGTACCTTGGGTGAAATCAATATAGAATCATTAAACTTAATCTCCTTAGACAGGAGAAGAGGAACTGCTTGTGCTGGCAAGAGAGGCACTGAGACCAGGGGGTTCAACATTATTAGAGTCCTCTCAGATGTCTTCATTCCCAATTCTCAGGTTTCCACACATTCCCAAAGCCCTGTTTTTCACGTAAGAGACCTGACAAGCCTGTGAAATCAATTAGTGCTGTACTTCTGCAATCCACTTGATATTTGTGATTTGGTTTTTTGATATATTGGCCTTCTGACTATAAGAGAGAAATCATTTTAGGACACTCATAGAAGGTCTCCAGTTCTCAGACAATGCCTTGTTCCAGTAATTAAATCCCCAAGTTGGACATTTTCTTCTAAGCTCAGTAACATGGTCAGATGTGGCTAGCCCACCTCACAATCCTTGTAGTCCTCAATTCCATTAAAACACTTTTTATACCATTCACGTGGTCTTCTAAAGCACTTCATTACCAGAAACTATAAGTAGTCTAAAAGTATAAACTTTTGAAAGTACAAACTTAATTCTTTTGCCATGGATTGCTAGACCTAGTGACAAGATTATATAGCCTTCAAAGCTAGTCAGGTCAGATAACCAATCCCAAATTCCCAACTTTGAGTTTCTCATCACTGTAGTCACTTCTAGAGCCAAATACTTTATCAGAGTTAATTCAAGAGAACAGCTTTCACTTTATATATGTTAAGCTAGGAGATTTTTGGATGTTTTGTTTTGTTTTGAGACAGGGTCTGGCTCTGTCACTCAGGCTGGAGTGTGATGGCATGATCTCAGCTCACTGCAACCTCTGCCTCCTGGGCTCAAGCCATCCTTCTACCTCAGCCTCCCAAGTAGCTGGACTACAGGTACACACCACCACGCCTGGCAGATTTTTGTATTTTTTTGTAGATATGGGGTTTTGCCATATTGCCCAGGCTGGTCTCAGACTCCTAAGCTCAAGCGATACGCCTGCCTTGGCCTCCCAAAATTTTGGGATTATGGGTGTGAGCCACCATGCCCAGCCTTGGAAGATTTTTAATAAAGGGAATTAGATGCTTGCAAAATTATTGGGAAGTGGGGAAGCAAAAGGCAAGGGAAATAGCTGCTGACTTTCAGAAAATCTGGAAGTATAGGGTATCTCACGAAGCTACTATGATCTCAGAAGCAGGAGTGACTATAAGTTTTTTTGTGTGTGTTTTTTGTTTTTTGTTTTTTGTTTTTTTTTTAGCAGAACAACTTTGCCAATTTACATTTCTTCAACATTATACCTTTGTCAGGTCAGAATTCTCCTTATTTTTCAATGTTTTTCAGCATGTCAACAGCAACCAGGAATTATCAGAGAAGCTGGCTACACTACAGCAAGAGAAAGAAGCTCTACGTGAAGAATATGTGCGATTATTGAAGCTGCTTGATGTCCATGTGAGGTAAACAAAGACAAGTTCTTTTTGGAAGAAAACTAAGTAGAGTAGTTATTTCTTGCTGAGCCAGCTCTAGAGCAAAATAGTGGGCTGCTCACTGAAGCACCCTTTCAAGAGGGCCATCAAAAAATCCCTGGGTTTCCAAAATTTCTATTCATAGGGCTTTTCCTAGGGAGATGTGGGGCCTAATTTCTTCTCAAGAGAGGGAGGGAGAAGGGGATTACCATTCATTGAGCTTTGATGGTATTGAACTTGTTTTTCCCCAAATACACCCTTCTCACTTGCCTTCACACTTTTTATCACCTCACATACTTTCCTCAGCCTAAACCACCCTCTCCTCATTTAAAGAGCTTTTTTATTTTTTTATTTCAGAGAATTGACACAGTATATTACTAATATGTATATTATATAGATGTTATATATAATGATAGGTGATATCTATTACAGATACAATACATGCTCTCTCTCTTTCTATACATACATACATATATGTATATCATGCAAATACCATTGTCCAAAGGTAAAATGACATTTGGTTTTTAGGCAGTTAAATTTTTTTTTATTTCACATATAATGAAACAACATTGCAAAAAAAAAAATTCTTTTTTGAGATAGGATCTCATTCTGTCACCCAGGCTTGAGAGTAGTGACACAATCACAACTCACTGCAGCCTTAATGTCCTGGACTCAAGTGATCCTCCCACCTCAGTCTCCTGAGTAGATGGGACTACAGTCACATGCAGTCACACCCAGCTAACTTTTAAATTTTTTAATAGAAATGGGTGGGTCTCACCATGTTGGCCAGGCTGGTCTCAAACTCTTGGCCTCAAGGGATCTTCCTTCCTTGGCCTCCCATTATAGGTGTAAGCCACTGTGCCCAGTGCAAATTTTTTTTCATAATTCTTTATGACACACCTCTGCTGTGATCAGTGTAAAATTTTTGAATGAAACAAAACTTATGCAGATATTGTCCCAAGTTCACTCCTAGTGTCTTGTCAATAAAGATAATTTTATGCTTTTATTATCATAGCTTTTGTAAAAGTTTTATACCATCTTTCTTTTAATACCATCTGATAAGCATTGTGCTTTGTTGCTATAGTTTCCAAATTTGCTATTTTCATAAAACAATATTTCATGAAGTTGATACGCCTTTCCACTAACAGCAGCATTTAAACAGGGTATAATAGTTAACAGACTAAAAAAAACCAAAATTACAGTGCTAATAAATGTATACATTATTTCGGGAATAGGGTATAATATAGAAACAGCATTAGAGGAAGAATATGCATTAGAGCCTATGGGTGTTTCACAGCGAGGGGTCCAGAAAAGTCAGGTAGGAGCTGGAATGCTGTTCATCCTGTAAGGGCCGTGGCTGAATGCACTTCCTCTCTGAGATCAGGAACCACTCGTGTGCATTGACCACTTCACAACCAGAGAGCCCAAAATAGAGTCTCAGCTGAGATTTTGTCAAATGCTTTTTATATTCTATTGTTCACATATGCATATTCCTGCTATGTAACCTGGTTCAAGAGTAGAGACTTCTTGGGGGTCTCACTGAGACCTGGTGCAAATCATCATTGTCACTGTTATCAATGAACAATGCTGATAAACTGGTACAAACTCTCATGGTCTGTACTACTTGGACCTGGGTGAGGTTATGAAGCCGTACTGTTTTAATTGTTACATTTCACTCTGTAACACGCTTGACCAACAATCAGTGCCAAACAGGCACTGCAGCAAAACAGTTCAGGTGAATCCCAGACATGCTGGAATTAAATCTCACAACAGAATCCTAATTTGGTTAAGAATTACTCGCTGCTCTAACGGTTGAATATTTTTATATTCAATATATAAATATATTCAATATATAAATATATTCAACAATGCTGAAGAAATCATTTTGGTATATATATTTTTCATTTTTAAATTTATTTTTATAGAACTAGAGATCTTAAAATGTATTGACAAACATTCCGAAGTATCCTACCGTGACCAGAAAGGGGTCCTGAATCCAGACCTTAATAGAGGGCTCTTGGATCTCATGCAAGAGAGAGTTCAGAGCGAGTCTAAAGAGTAAAGTAAAAGCAAGCTTATTAAGAAAGTAAAGAAATAAAATAATGTGTACTCCATAGACAGAGCTGCCCCAAGGGCTGCTGGGTGGCTATTTTTATGGTTATTTCTTGATTATAAATATTCTTGTTTTGAATATAAATTCTTGAATATAAGTATTATTAATTATAAAAAAAATTCTTGTTTTCTGGGAAGGAGGCAGGAATTTCACAGAACTGAGGGTTCCTTCTTTTTTTAGTTTATATGGGATAACTTCAAGATGTTGCCATGGTATTAGTAAACTGTCATGGTGCTGATGGAAGTGTCTTTTGTCATGCTAATACATTATAGTTAGCATATAATGAAGAGTGAAGAGGAAAGGAGGTCACTTCCATTGCCATCTTGGTTTTGGCGGGTTTTGGCTATCTTCTTTACTGCATCCTGTTTTATCACTGGGATATTTGTGACCTGTATCTTGTGTGGACTTCCTGTCTCATCTTGTGACTAAGAATGCCTAACCTCATGGGAATGCAGCCCAGCAGGTCTCATCCTCATTTTACCCATCCCTTATTCAACATGGAGTTGCTCTGTTTCAAATGCCTCTGACACTACTAAATTTTTCTGCCATCATTATATAAAAGTAGCAATGTTACCACATGCTCATTAACATTGAGTACTACTATTGATGAGGTAGAGGAGTTCTGATGACATTTTCCCCAATATTCTTTGTTTAATTGAGATATAATTTGCATGTAATAAATGCAAAGATTTTTTAATGTACTATTGGATACGTTTTGACAAATGTTTGTGCCCATGTTACCACCACCCCAATCAAGATACAGAACAGGGCCAGGTGCAGTGGCTTATGCCTGTACTCCCAGAACTTTGGGAGGCTGAGGCAGATTGCTTAAGATCAGGAGTTCAATACTAGCCCAGGCAACATGGTGAAACCCTGTCTGTACCAAAAATACAAAAATTGGCCAGGCATGGTGGTGCGCATCTGTGGTCCCAGCTACTCGGGAGGCTGAGGCAGGAGGACTACTTGAGCCCAGGAGGCAGAGATTGCAGTGAGTGACTGAGCCAAGATCATGCCACTGCACTCCAGCCTGAATGACAGAGTAAGATTCCATCTCAAAAAAAAGAAAGAAAAAAATGCAGAACATTTCCGCTGTCCCTTAAAGTTCTCTATGACCTGTTTGCAATTGATCTGTACTTACTGCTTCTCCCTCCCTCCAGGTAGCCACTGTTCTGATTTCTACCTGTCCTGGAATTTCATCTAAATGAAATTATGCTAGATGTAATTGTAACCATAATAGGTTTGTTGCCCAATGTACACAGCAAGTCAACACACTAAGACATTGGGTTGCAGCAGAGAAAGAAGTTTAATCATAGAGTCAACAAATGAGGAGATGGGAGGAAATCTCAAATTCATCTCCTTGAGGAACTTAGATTTAGGATTTTTAAGAGTTTTAGATTGGACCAAAAAGTGGAGATGGTTGGTAGGTCAAAGAGTCCAGGGTGAAGTCATGGGACAGGGAGATGAAGAAGCTATATTCTCATGCTGATTCTGTTCCTTTTTGGGGCTCTTCAAACTGGTTGCTGGAATTTGTATCTAAGAAACCTCTTAAGCAATTCCTTTTTTTTTTTTTTTTTTTTTTTTTTTTTTTTTTTTTTGAGGCAGGATCCCACTCTCTTCCCCAGACTGGAGTACAGTGGTACACTCTTGGCTCACCGCAACCTCCGCCTCCCAGGCTCAAATGATTCTTCTGCCCCAGCCTCCTGAGTAGCTGGGATTATAGGCATGTGCCATTACTGCCTGGCTAATTTTTGTATTTTTTAGTAGAGACAGGGTTTAACCATGTTGGTTAGGCTGCCTGGCCTTGAACTCCTGACCTCAAATGATCCACCCGCCTCAGCCTCCCAAAGTGCTGGGATTACAGGCATGAGCCAGCTCACCTGGCCAAGCAGTTCTTAAACAAAAACTTATAATTCTAATATTAATGGTCCTGTCTATAGGAACAATGGAGATGCAAATGATCAGTATCTAATGCTGTGTGACTTTTAGCAACAGGGAAGTGGACCAAAGTGAAGCCTGATTAATGTTTTGTTATCATTATATTTCTGTCAACCCTGTCGGGGCAGTTTCATACTCTTTTGTGTCTGACTACTTTTGTTCAACGTAATGTATTATTTTTAAATGCACTTGTAGACATAAATTACTTGTCATTTTGTTTTGAATTTCTTTAATGTCTAGTGAGGCTGATTGTTTTTCCATGTTATCTGTGCACAGCCTTTTAGGGCAGTGAATTCTGACCCTGGCTGCCTGGGCTCCAACATAGATGAATAAAATAAAAACCTGTGGGCATAGGGTCTGTAGATCAATACTTTTCTAAAAGCATCCTCGTGAGATTCTAATGTGCATCCGAGGTTGAAAACTATATTCAGGAAAGAAAATGGAAGGAATTATTGAAACTCTGCATATTTTTTTCATTTCCCTGACCCCAGTCCTGACTTTCACACAGAATGCTTATTTTTTATATTTTCTCTACAACTTTTCCAGAGGAACAATTCCCTTGCTTTTTTCACATCGAAGTATAGACAACCTGGTTTTACTTGAAGACAAGCTAAAAGTTGTTCCTAAATTTTAGAACATAAATATTGTGTCACCTCATAACATTTATAGTTAACAAAGCCAAAAATAAACATGGAAAATCTATTTGTTCTTCAAGCCAACAGGACTTCAGACCAAACCAATAGTGTGACAAATAGCCAGCAATGACAAGGGAAGGCTCTAAGTTCTCACCAGGTGTACTGCATCAACATGCTTTTCAAACCATGTGTAACACTACAGAGAGTACCCTAAATATCAAATAACAGGAGACTAATTAGGTGAAGTATAATACATTCACTTAATAGGACGTCATACAGCTGTGAAGGTTGATGGCTGTGAATATTAG